GCACATCTTTGGATCCATAGTGAACACGGCTCTATCCCAGTCGACAGAGGCTCCAAGTTTACGGAATTGATCGTAGATCACGTCTCCCTTCTCGTTCTTCCAGTGCCAAACTTCCTGATTGAAGCGATCACGTCCCAAATCGTGTCGGGTCAGTCCGCGTTCTCTCTTCAGACGCTTTTCGACGACGACCTGTGTGGCGATTCCGGCATGATCACATCCCGGATTGAAGAGTGTCCGTTTTCCGTGCATTCGATTGAATCGAGTGATGGTGTCCTCAACGGTGGTGGCGAGGGCGTGTCCGACGTGAAGAGTTCCCGTCACATTTGGAGGTGGAATACAGATTGTAAACGTCTCCGGATTGCCACCTGGATTCAGTTTATCAATGTATTCTGGCTTGAAGAATCCCTCCTTCTCCCACCACGAATACCACGCAGATTCTACGTAGCTTGGTGAGTAGGCTGATGGAATTTCAGCCGAAATTTCCTTTTTCAGTCCTGGCTCCGTGTTGTCCACTGGAATTGCATTGGCTGTTGGGTCCTTCTTGGCTTTGGCCTGTAATTTTAGCATAAATCTTCAATCTTACGGCAAAACTCATTGATTTTATAAAGATTTTAGCCAAAACTTAAAAACCAACCTCCTTAGCTGGCTTATCACTTGCGGCTGCTTTAGCCTTCTGCTCGGCGAGCTTCTTTTGTTTTTCTTCGAATTTTGCGAGCTTCGCTGCCTTTTCGGCCTCTTTCTTCAGCTCTTTTTCAGTTTTTGGGCGTGCGTCCGCCATTTTTTGATTACCTGAAAAATCGGGATTTTAGGGCCTAAAATTGACAAGTTTCAAGAAAAAATTAGCTTCGCCATAACAAAAAATCGATTAAGTGAGAAGTGAATTAAATTTTTCAAACAAAAAGAAAGTTCAATTGAGAAATGACGCTCAGAAATCTTAAAAAACTAAAAATTTGGCGCTGAAAAAATAGTTTTTCACTGAGTCTGCATTTTGGCGTCGGCGTGTCAGTGTACCATATCTTACGACCATTGAAAAGACAGTCAGGAAAAGCAAACAAATCGCTTGTTCGATGACAGAATAAACGAAAAGTGAGAAGAGCAAAGAAAATAAAATTAAAAAGCGAATGTTGAAAATAAAACAAATAAATATTTTGGTATATTGCCCCATGTTTTGGTCTGTTAACCCACCACCTTATAACCTAACTTTCCGTATTTCGCAATTTCAAATCGTGAATCATATTGCATCAGATTGACATTCACAACGTGTAAACAGCATGCTTCACTTTAAAAAATTACGCATGCGCTCGGGACGCAATGCGCTATCGCTATCAAAAAAAATGCGCTCGGGACGCAATGCGCTATCAAAAAAAAATTCGGAAAATTGAATCTAGTTTTTCTTATGAGGAAAACAAAACTTAATACTGACTGTTTTATTTAATATAATCTAAAATCTCTTTTTTCCACAAAACCCTGATTTTTACCAAAATTGAATTTTGAACTCCCTCCAAATCCCACGATTCAATAGAGCGCAATTACCCTTGCACAAAACATGAAACTCAAAACAATCACCATCCTTTAAAGAACAGTTTCGAAAAATTCGTTAAAAGTGACGATAATCGAAGGGGATAATCCCTTCCGAAGCGTCTGGTCGAGAATCATGTGGGGAAAAAAAAAGAATGAAACAAAAAACAGAAAATATTCCCCCAATGTTACCAACGAGACGACTACAACTTCGAATTATCGTCTTCGCCACTATTTTCGCCCTGTTTTGTTTGTTTTATTCCGAATTTTCTGTCTCTAAGCTGACTGTGGAGAATTCAACAAAAACGACGACGACGACGACTACAGAGAAACCGAAAAAGACGCCGAAATTCTACAAAATGTTGAATTGGGAGCGACGAGAATCTGAGAAGAGACTGAATAATATTGAAGATTTGATTAGAGCGAACTTGAATGTAAGGATTTTTTTGAAAATGAGCGTCACAGGCAAAGTAGGTACATACTCAACTGCTATGAAGTTTATCAACTTCTATATTTGGCTCTTCTGCTATAGATCAACTACTATTTTTGCTACTTTCGATGTCTCAACTGCTTTTGCTCTAGCAGTTGATGCATAGCAAAAGAGCCGAATATAGCAGTTGAGTGTTTGCCTCATCAGAACTGCTCTCCCATAACCTTTTTTCCAGACCCTCCCCAACCGTACCTCCAGCCTATCCCCTCTCCAAATGTGCACACAAAACTCATCTCCTTGCGTTCCAGGTCTCAAAAACTTCGAGGGAGAAATCCGGGTATGAAAAACCTTACCTTTTAGTATTCCTATGAACCTACAGTGATCCTCAGACTGCTCCGAAATACCGTCTCTCCACTTGTGTGGTTCAGAAAAGTATGAGTACAGTAATGACGTCAATGTTCTGTTATTTGAGGGATGAGAAGAAGTTTCTGGCGAATCACAGGGAGTTGTTGAAGGATTGGAAGATCATTCGGTTTTGTATGTTCAAGAATGAGTTCAGGAATTTGGGAGGCGTGTTTAAGAAGTTCAAGGTTAGTTCTTGTAAATTAGGCACTGTATGTTCAGAGCAGTGTATCTCGATTGCCCTTAAAGCTATCAAAAAGTAATCAACTGAAGAAATGTTGAGCAAAGAATTGTCAACATTTTATTAGTTGAAACCATTTTGATAACTTCAAAGACAACCGAGATATACTGCTCTGAACATACAGCTTCGTTAGGGCAGTAAGGTCGGGCCGCGGTCATTTTTCCCCAGTCATGGATTGGTCGCTTGGCAAAAATTCAGACCATTTGGTTTATCCGCGACCGGGCCCGATTCCCCCAGTCCTGACCGAAGTACAGCCAAAATTCCCTTTTTCCAGGTCCCTCCTCAACCCAACAACTGGACAAACATCATGATGGTTCGTCACCCTCTGGAACGTTTTGTCTCCGGCTTCGTGGACAAATGCTATCGTAAACCAGTGATTCAGAAATACTGTAATGGTTGTGGAAGGAACCTGACATGCTTCATGGAGACGGAATTAGCCAGAATGTGGGGTCAAATCGAGCGTGGAACCTTCCAGAAAACCTACGAGGATCGTCACTTTTTCCCGCAGAGTTGGCGATGCGATCTCTTCCAGTACTTCTCCAACTTCACCTTCATTCCTTATTCTTCCTCCCATAATTTTTCAATTACTTCCCAACTATTCCCAATTTTTCGTAACCACTCTGTCCCAGAGAGCTCTCTGAAATACATAGAAACCTCTTTGTCCTCTGGACGAACCGCCCATAGTACTGTAGACTCAAAAGCCACTGCTTTTGTAGCGAAGAGACTGGAATCTAGCCCGTATCTCATGGAATTACTTGTCAAAATGTTTTATCACGATTTTGTACTTTTCAATTTCACACTTCCTGCCATATAAATAAATAGTTTACACAGATAATTTTTTGCGACGTTCGCTCTATCGCAAGCTATGCTGGCAGTGTGCCAAAACGTTTTTTTTTTCAAGTTGGCACGCTGCCAAATCGTTTTGGTGCGCTTTCAAGTTCAATCAAAATTCGTAGTATAAAATTCAAGATGAATTTGTAAAACATGATTTTTCACGATAAGAAAATGCCAATGTAAGCAGAACAAGAGAGATTATAGAGTTTCGTGGAGGGCATTGCACCCATTTCGCTTTTCGGAAAACTGGAAAGTTGACTTTTTCCGTTTCAAATTATGTTTTGAGAAATTTGTCTAAAAATCTGGAAAGGCTGAAAATTCGATTCTGAAAAAATCGCGAAACGTCAGAGTGAACTCTGATTGAAATCAGGAGTATTTAGCCTGTTTTTTCAATCCCTTTTTTGGACGAAAACAATAAAAAAACGGGCTTCCAGGTTCAAAAACCATTTGATTTGTTACCAGAAGTGCAAATAACCAGCCATTTTTCTATGCACTTCAAAAAAATTCCTTATAGTTCTTTTCCCCGTTCCGCAAACTTGATTTTACAGTTAGCAATTCTAAGCAATTCCCCTAATTACTCTTTCAAAGGTACATTCCCATCTACATCATCTCGTATCTCACCACGACATCTCATTTGGCCCTTCTGCCCTCTTCTAACAGGTCCCTTCTTCTTCATATTCCCCTCTCTTCCCGCTCACCAGTCCGCAAACACCTCCACGCCACCACCACGTACACCCCATTATTCCTCACTAAATGACCACTCACATGCTATCGATTTTGCCACCGCTTGTACAGAATTTCAGTCGAATTCTCGAGTATTTTGAATTTCCCGCCTTACCCGAGAAGCCATTGATGAAAATGAGTCAAGGAGTGGGAATTGTGGAGACGATTTTGACGGCAGAACCACCGTTTTGTGACTCTTTCGAGCGAATTTCCATCGATAAATTCCCGATTTGGGCGTTGGGAAAGGAGATCACCGAGGAAGATGGTACGTTTTAAGGCAGGATTTTGTTAGGATAAAAATTGTTATTCAGGAATCGAAGCAATGAAAAAATACATGTCGTCCCGGTTTTGGTTCACATATAGGAGGGATTTTTCTCCAATAGGTGAGTTTTTCACTAACTGTTTTGCGGGAAAACATGGGAAAAGGGTGTCTGGAAGTAGTAGAAAAAAGAAAAAAGAAATTCCAACCCACTCGGGTTTGAACCCTGAGGTGTAATATTGAAAGGCAAAAGTGTAACCGAGTCCTCTACCTAGTGCACTGAGAACCCGGTGACAGATGGCAATGAGAATAGTGCGACTGTTCTTTTTTTCCCAGTGGGAGGGAGGGAGTGGTTACCGAGGTCGAAAGGGTCCGTTCGAACAGTGATGAAAGATGAAGATGGTTTTTTTTCCAAATTAGGTTTTTTTTTCAAAAAGTGCAACTAAAAGAAGATTTACCTATAGAGTAAGATTTGGTCTTATATCTTAGAATTATTTGGTTTTAGGACTGAAAAACGCAAAAAAGTGACTGAAATCTATTGAAAATGGGTCAAAAACAAAATTCCTGCTAGGGAAAAAAAAATTAAAAAGATTTGACCTCATACGGAATCGAACCCCAAACCTAAAATTTCAAAACAAACTTGCTAACCACTTCACCACGCGGTCACGAAATTATCCGACTCTTGAAACAAAAAGAGCACAAAATTTCCAGGCGGTACCGGACCAACATCGGATCAAGGATGGGGATGCATGTTAAGGTGTGCTCAGATGCTCCTCGGAGAAGTGCTCCTCAGAAGACACATTGGCCGACACTTCGAATGGGATATTGAAACCACTTCAGTAGTCTATGAGAAGATTCTACAGATGTTCTTCGATGAGAAAGACGCGTTGTATTCGATTCATCAAATTGGTAAGTCTATAACAAGGACATCCGGAAAAACTGACCTTGAGACCTTATTTTCAGCTCAAATGGGCGTCACTGAGGGCAAAGAGATCTCGAAATGGTTCGGACCGAACACTGCTGCTCAGGTTTTGAAGAAGTTGACTATTTTTGATGACTGGTCTAATGTGGCTGTTCATGTGGCATTAGATAATATTCTGGTGAAGGAGGACGCATTAACAATGGCCACCACTTATCCAAGTGAAGATGCAGTTAAGCTTATCATGGGTAAGTGGAAGTTAAAGCGGTATAATAGGATTGGGAGAAGAGATAATCAAAAGTTGTCAACTACAAAGTTGTGAGTTTTGTAATTTTGAGTAACTTTGTAGTTGATTACTTTTTGATACCAAATACCGAAACTGAGATATGACGGTTCGAACATAGTAACATCGTCAACAGTCTCTAGGATCATAGCTTTTGTTTGAAACATTGTACTTCATTTAGGATTGAATATATTAAAAAGTGAACTACTACAAAATGGTAGATTTTCTAATTTTTAACATATTCGTAGTTGATTACTTTTTGCTACCCCAACGCGCAACTGAGATGTAAAGTTTCAAATCTAAGGCACTCTGATCACAGTGATACAGGCGCCTGATACCTAATTCCTAAAATCTGAGTAATTCGGTCAAAAAAGCATATCAAATGGTTAAGTACGAGCGAAACCACAATGCTGTCGACTTTTGTAGAGGCTAAGGGCACAAAAACTACAAATGGCGTTTTGCCTCTACAAACTGTCGCTCCAAGGCGGCAGGCATTTTGTAGAGGCAAGTTTGTAGTTTGTGCCGTTAGCCTCTACAAACTGTCGCGCCAAGGCGGCAGGCATTTTGTAGAGGCAGCATTGTAGTTTGTGCCTTTAGCCTCTACAAAATTACTGCCGCCCTGGTGCGACAGTTTGTAGAGGCAATACAAGTTTTGTAGTTTGTACTCTTAGCCTCTACAAACTGTCACGACAGGCAGTTTGTAGAGGCAAGATTTTATAAGATTGTAGTTTGTGCCCTTAACCTCTACACACTGTCTTGCCTGCTTTTTCCGGCGGCAGGCAGACAATACATCTTCTAATTTGGAACAATTTTCTAATTGATTACTTTGTCCTTTCTTCTAGATTAATCTAGAACACCTATCAACCAAAGTACACTACAGCAGAAGAAACAAAAATACCCTACCCATAGTATAATACCAGTAACTATGCTCAAAAACTCAATCCAAAACTTGCCAAACTTCCAGAAAACGGTCAAGTCGAGAAACATTACGCCACCATCACCTCAAAAGAAGGAGAATGGCGTCCACTACTCCTAATGATCCCCCTTCGTCTCGGCCTAACCTCCATCAACACCTGCTACCTTCCAGCCATTCAAGAGTTCTTCAAACTCCCCCAATGCGTTGGAATCATTGGCGGAAAACCTAACCTTGCTCATTACTTTGTTGGAATTGCCGGCACCAAACTCTTCTACCTGGATCCCCACTATTGCCGCCCAAAGACCTCCAAAGTGTTCGCCGAGAAGGAGCCAAGTACCGAATCCGAGCAGCATGACACAAACTTCAGTGAGTTGGAGGACCTCGAACCACTCCCATCCCAAACTTCTGATGTCTACACAAAAATGGACGACTCCACCTATCACTGTCAAATGATGCAATGGATGGAGTTCGAGTCCATTGATCCTTCTTTGGCTCTCGCCTTGTTCTGTGAAAGCCGTGAGGATTTCGACAATTTGTGTCAGGAACTTCAGAAGACCACCTTGCCAGCTTCCAAACCTCCGATGTTCGAATTCCTGGAGAAACGACCAAAATACCTGCCGAAATTCGAGCCGTATACTGGAGTTTCAATGAAGATTGAGATGAAAGAATTCGATGATATCGGAGCGGCGAATGTGAAGATTGACGATGATTTTGAGGTGTTGGATGTGAAGGAGGATGATGAGGAGTTAGATGGGGATTCAGAAGAGAAGAATCCAGAGGAGAAAGTTCCAGAAGACACCGAAGTCATTGAGAATTAACTTTTATTTAATCATTTTCCCCTTATAATCACTTTTAACTTGTGTTGTAAAAATGGCCTTTCACTCTCTCCTGATCAATTTCTTATCTAAAGCTGGTCTTTATTCGAAAAAGTCGATAATTGTAAATAAATGTAAATCATTATTGAATTCTTCTGATTGTGGTCTGAAAACGGTTGAAAATAGAGAAAATTATTCTTGAACACTCTAAGCATAAATTGTAGTTTGTGTCCGCAGCCTCTACAAACTGCCTGCCGCCTTGGCGCGACAGTTTGTAGAGGTTAAGGCTACAAACTACAATCTTGCCTCTACAAAACGCCTGACGCCCTGGTGCGAAGCTTTGTAGTCTTTGTGCCCTTAGCCTCTACAAAAGTAAATAAGTCATTAACTTTGTTAATTGTTGACCGTTTTCAAAGGTTTTTGGACCGAAACAACTAGAACCTGAGTGCTCAAAAACTACCAGGATTGTTGTGATCTTCATACTTTTTGATGCTAAGCAAAACTTGTAGTTTGTGGTCTTAGTCTCTACAAAACTGTCTCTTTTCAATCATCTTAATGAGTTTCAGACCCCTAACAACAGAAAAAAAAACTATACATTCAAATATTTATTTTAAAAAAAATTAAATTTTACTCGGTTGAACTTTGTAGATCAGCGCTTCTTGGGATGTCGACATGATGAGTCTGAATAACCTCTTTTATAAAGGCATGTCTATCGATAGAAAACTCACTTCCCATCCCTCGACCATAACCGTCCATGGATTAAACTTCGATGGTTGGAGTTGGCCACACATTCTTGTTCATAAAGGATCCAGTCGTTTATGTCGAATCTGGAATAAGAAAAGGCTACAAACTACATAAAGTATTTATCAGTTTTGATGTAAAAACAATACGAGAGTCTGCCATTGCTCAGTCTTAACCCCAAATTCTACAAATCACAAAAGCCTTTTTATCAGAACTCACTCATACTGATGAATCCACGCGGAATGATCCATGGAAGTTTGCAATTTGAACATTTTATCATCAAAACACAAAGCACCAGTTGTCACCAACTCCAAATCAGACAAATAGACAATAGTGGCATGTCGGAGCATGTAATCGGTTTTGTCTGAAAATTTCCTAGTATAAAGGTATTTTTTGTATAAAGGTATATATGTATAAAGGTAATATCGGTCCCGGACCATGGTTTTGAGCTCGAAATCTTCTAATTGGGGTCAAGAAACTCAATATCGTGCTCTAACAAGGGATGTCACTTTAGATAAGCGTTGGGAATTTTCTGAAAATTGGCCAAAACACTAATTTGGACACCCTAAGAACAAAAATTTTGGTCCTAACTTCCACAACTCAAAAATAAAAATTTTCAGATTTTGGGTCTGAAAATTTCGTAAAAATTTTTGAAATCTTCAAATTTGACGCCGATTCTAGTCTAGATACTTTTTCTCAACTTGTATGGATGTAAAAACTTGAATTTTCGAGTTTCTCTCAATATTAGATCAAGTTTTTGAAAAATTTTCGAAAACCGGAAATTTTCGAATTTTCGAAAAAATCGCTATAACTCCCTTCAAAATGGTTTATGGGACGTGAAAATTGAACTGTGACATCCCGGATATGCCAGAATAACGTGAAAAAATTTTGAAAAAATTCACTTTTTTTCCAATTTTTTTTGGATGAACAGGGGGTACCAGGTCAAGCAAAATTTTTCAAAAAAAAAATTTTTCCCAAAAAGTGTCGGAAATTGTTCGAAATATTAAAAAATGGTCCTACTTTATTCGAAACAGAATTTGAACACCGTTTACCGTTCTTATATTGAGATTTCCCGAAACTACTGTACTGGAAAACACGGAAAATGAAAATTTACCCCAATTTTCGGGATTTGTGGAACTTTTCGTTATGATTTTCGGCTTCAGGGGGCCAAAGTGTACCTGCCTGCAAATTTTCAGAAAATTCCCAACGCTTTTCTAAAGTGACATCTCTTGTAAGTTGAATTTTAAAAAATTCAAATTCAGTGAAAATCGCCTGTTTTCAGCAAATTGTAAAACTAGCTTCGAAAAGCTGCAGAAAAATAGAACGAACTCAACAACATTTTTCGGTCAAAAAGGGTCAATTTTTGGCATTTTCAGTGATTTTTGGCTCAAAAACTCAGGTTTTTTGAGATTTATCTGGCCAAATCATAGAGACCTGCGATTTTCTTCAAAATCTAATTTTGAACTTGCAAACGCATTCAAAGGTAAATCTCAATGAGCTCTACGCGTCGTTCTTGTGCAGCCCAAATTGGTCTGGCTGATTCCAAGTTTCCAGACATGTGGAACTCACCGAAATCTACATTCTGACAGTTATATGAGTCCACAACTTCGATTTTGAGGAATATTCTCCAAAAACTCACCAACAGGAATCTTGTACCTAATCCAGAGGTACTGTTTCTGATTGACACCACCTGTTCCATGCAGGAACATATTCAAATCGGCGGGTCGGATTTCTAGACTCGGAGCCATTCTTTCTGTAACTTGCCCTCGAAGCTCTCGGGCGTCAAATCCCTCTGCAACTTTTTGATGACGTCCTGTGATGTTGCTGATGAGACCGTCGGGTCCAGGTACGTGGGCGGGGAATTCAGGGGTTAGGGAGAACGTGTCTTTCACACTGGCGAGCTGCAAAAAGGATATTGTCGTAAATTACGATGTCAGGTACGCTATCACACACCTTCTGCAATGAAAACTCTGCCAAATGAATCACTTTTC